TTTTCCAGAAAAGTGCCTGCTCCAAACTTGTAAAGGAAGACGGCAATTCTAACCTCCCCTTCAGTCTGTTGCTATTGAGTCGTCAGAAAAGTCATGACAAATTTTCACACAGAAAAAATACATCTTGACTTTTCCAACGACCCAATAATACCTCTACTCTGTCTGCCCTCAGGTGATCTTCAGCCCTTCCTCCATGCTCCAGTCCAAGAGTCGCGTAAGGAGGAGGAACGGGAGGAACTGAGTGTGGAAATTAAACAGATGGGAGCTACTCCATGGACTCGAAAGCAAGAACAGACCATGAAGGGAATGAATAGCCTTTGAGGGTTTCTGATCCCAGCCTGCAGCTCCTGGAGCCCCAGTGCCTCTTTCAACCCACACATGAATGAACAAGGCAGGGAGAAAGGGCTTCGTTGTGGAGAGGAGAGCCATCAAGTGTTCAAGGGAAAGTAATGGAAGAGTTTTAGGAAGAGAACAGAAGCCCTTGGTAAGGGTGGAGGCGCACCCTTTGCTGCGTACCCGTCGGCGCTGACTCTCAGGCAGAGGCTCCACTCGCATTCGCCTCATGGTCAGTGTCTCCTCACGGTGCCCCACTCCTCAAATTCCACATGACTGATGTGTGCGGGTATGTTTGGGCTAAGATCTTTATTCCAGGCCTGGGGCCAAGGAAGAGTGGGCGATTGCAGCACAAGACACACACCTACACAGAGAGAGAGAGAAATGAGACTCGTTATTACCAGCATACTTCTCTTTCTTCTGATCTTTAAGTGCCAGAGGGTGCATGCCCACACACGAGAGAGAAAGCCTGGTCACACCACAATCCTCTTCCCTCCAACTCTCCATCCTGCTGTGACCCTGGGCACTAGCTCTGCACCCAGCATGAAGCCAGTGGAACTGGGACTCGAACCCTGGTCAGCCATGTGGGATTTAGCTTCCTCTGCACAACACCTAAATGCTGCGCTAGGGGGCCAGCCTGCAGCACATGCCTTTCTAATTGGCAGATGTATGTGATAACTAAATTTAAAGTGGTCACGTGGGGAAGCTCACAGGTGGTACGGTGGTTAAAGGTGCTGTATTCTACATGGCCAACTGCGGTTCAGGTCCTGGACCTTGTAGCTTGCTTTCTCACTTTCCCTTTCTCTCTCTGTCTCTCTCTTGTCAGGTTAAATAATAATAATAAATAAAAGTAAATACATAATTATTCTTTAAAAGAGGTAGTTTGATGAATTCTTAAAAACAAAAAACACTTCTTCAGAGAGAGACAGGCCCACCAACAAGGTCTTCATGCCATGATCCCCACCCCCACCCCACAACCTCAACTCTGCAGGACCATAGGAATGCATGCACAAGCCCAGAGTACACAGGGAGACCTGGGGACACACTCAGGACCCTCCCACATGGCGCCAGCATCAGGAACATTGTGTTACTCTTGAACCACTGACTGTGGCTGCCTATGGTCAATATATTCATATTTTGAGTTTTCTTGGTTTCTACTGCCAGAAGGCACATACATTCACCAGAGACAGAGGGAGAAAGCATCCCTAATGGTGTGTGGTCATGCTGCAATTCGCCCTCCACTTCTCCATCTTCTTGGTATTCGGGGCACAAAGGCCCATGTGCCTAGCATGTCTTTCAAGCCACCAGGTCCAGGATTCACACCATGACTGGCCATGTGGGAGTCAGCTCTCTCAACCACTAGCTATGGGGCCAGTCCAATGGTGAATATATTTTAAAGGCAAATGATTGTGGTTTTCAGATATTTTTTTAAATTAAGCTCATGGTAAAATATATATATA